GGGGGCGGGCCCAGCACGGTATGTGGTACCTTGGATCAAATCCTGTTGCACTTGCCTAAGCAGGCGCTTAGTTCGCTGAGCTATCTTGCCACAGTATATCCTTAAATATTTTTTATTGACTGAATCTATGGAAGCAATGTTGAAGAGAAGTCCAGAGGAGACAATGACTAGACCTCATCATCTTTGCAGTTAAGGGAAGTCTGCAATGTAGCACTGTCTGAGCTGGCTGGAGACATGTGTGGGCCAGGCAGGGGACTGCAGACCGAGGTGAGGGCAAGACCCTGCAAAAAACAAAACCGTCTCATGCCCAAGTCTCAGGAGTCACAGACCTCAGTGTTACAGTGCAGGGGTTTGCTTGTTGGTTGTTTTGTTTTGTTTGCAGCACTGGGGATAGAAGCCAGGGCCTTTGTCATGCCGGACAAGCCCTGGGCTACGGAGCCAGGCACTAGGCTGAAAGAGTTTCTTTGAGACACTTTTCCACTTCAATTTGAGTCTTGGTGACCTCACCAGCATTAACTTAAAGGGAAACTAGAAAATATAGAGAGACAAGAAAAAATTCCTCAGTGATTCTACCATCTAGAAAAATCACTGTAAAAATAAAATAAATAGAATAGAATGGAAAAAAAAAAGAAAAAGAAAAATCACTGTAGTTACTGGCTTTCCTGTTCCTTGGTGCAATCTCCTTACATTGTTTCCTATGACATATATGTCATAAATATGTGAAATTTTGTTTACATATTTCCTTTATATATTAATTACATATCTGATATGTGTATAGATAAATGTTACATGAGCATTTGTTAGATAAAAGATGTCCATACGTCTTTGTCATCTCATTTTTTGGGGGGAGTGGTCTTACCGTGTAGTTCAGGCTGGCCTTGAGTTCATTATGTAGCCCAGGCTGGCCTCAGACTCAGGAATCCTCCTGCCTCAACCTCCCAAGTGCTGAGATTGCGGGCCTGCGCCACCACACCTGGCCTATTCTCTTGATGTCCTTGCGCACAATAAGTACTCAATATATTTTGACTGAGTGACTGGATGGAAGGGAAGGATTCATTGCTAGATACCTATAAGTACAGATTTTAATACTTTTACTAATTTGTTAAATTAGCTCTGGCCCACATAGTCTATGATTTTACTGCTAGAAGAAATAGGAATTTAAAAATTTATAGACTTGGACTCCTTGGGATGCCTCTTAAAACAATAATATCTAGATCTCTGACATTGATGAATAAATATGGTACTCATTTTTCCAGAATTAGTAATCCTCGAAACCTGGGAGTTATAGGACCAAAAGTGTTGTTCATCAAGCAAACATCAATGCTTTTCCCTCCCAGGAGGAGGAAAGCAAAGCTGTGCTGCAGGCATTAATGCACTGGTTGGAAGGTTCGTCTTTTGTCCATTGAGCAGCTTCTGGCAACAACCCCTTTTACAGGGCGCTAGGCATGACCCAAGGACGCCACAGTCCCTGGCAACCTGGTCCTTGGCTTCAAGGAGGGATAGAGAATTTTTCAAAGAAATAAAAAGGAAAATAATGATCACAGACAGCAATATCTCCCTCATCGTTTCTTTTAAAAAATATTATTTTTCCTTTATCCTCTCAAGAAAGTATATTCTCACTCAGGTTTCAAGTGATCTGGTGGTTGAGTACTCATCCATTTTTTAACTATAATAGCTGAGCATTGGCTCCTGTTGAACAAAAATTCACATTTAAAGCCACACTTCTTACTTAGCTTGAGGGCATCCCTTTCCTTCTTCCACTCCTCAGGGAGAAAGGCTGGGCCAGAGGCAAGGAGTCCTCGGCCCTGGGCAGCCTGTGTCCCTGGATGAAGTATTCTTCCACTAGATGGCGCTATTTTCTTTTTTCAGCATTAACAGAGTTGCTACTTGCCCCGGGGGTGGGTTTTTGTTTTGTTTTTCAGCTGTTCTGTTCTTTTAATAAACAGCAGGTGACAATAAGTTGCTGATGCTTCTTTGGTTTTCACATTCACTCTTGGGAACTTTCAAAAGTCCCCGATGGGGACCCCTTACCTTGTACGGTAAGCATGCACCTCCCAGTGGAAGTCACAGCTGGGGACTAGCTCACTGACAGCAGTGCCAGGGAATGATCTGTCAAGCTTCTCTGCCTCTCTGCTAATAAAACAGACCTAAAGCAAAACAATGACTCCAGTATCCTCTTTTCTAAATAGGGTAAAATATTCAATAAATGATGCAGATATCTTTCTTTGTCGGGTAACATTCTCTGGAAAGAAAAAAAAATCTAAAACTTTGCAGTTCCACAAGACCCTGCTCAGTAGCTTAGCAGATGCTGCCACGACCCCCACGCTGCAGAAACTAAATCCCAGGCAGGAAGCAAGAAAAGATGGAAATTCCAGGGCAGGACTGGAAAGACGGAAAGTGTTAACAGTGGAATTCTGCTCCAGGTGCTTTATCGTCAAAATATTGTATTCAGGAGAGCAGGTAGGGCTCAGTCTCGGAGAAAAGTGCCAGAGGACTCAGGTTTGGCTTGATCACCCGGATTTGGTCCTCTAGATCCTCCTAGTGATCTCGCTTTAAAAGATACAGCGGTTTTGAGGTTAGGGGGTATTTTTACCCATTCCTCTATTTTGGAGACTAGCAGGAAGCACGGGGCGCGCTCCAGGTCCAGATGAGGTTGGGCAGCGACTCAGGCGCGCAGACAGGTGGCCTCGCCCCGCCTCCCAGTCGCCCCGGACGAAACTTGCAACCCGCTGGTCCCGCACAGCTTCCGAGCGCGGTAGAGAAGCCGCCCGCCCGGCCCGGGACGGCAGTTGCCTGGGGACCACGAGGCACTGGGCACCGGCGCGCGCCCCGGCGAGGATGGTCGAACCAGGATTCCCCGCGCTCCTGGGTCGAGGGTCTCGCGGAGCCCCGCGCAATGCTTCTCGCCCTCTCCCGCAGATTGCCCCCGCGCCTATCGGATCCTGGCTGGCCCCTAGCGGCGGTGACCCTAGGTGTCCGCCGCACGCAGCCACCCACGCGCCCCACAGCGCCGCGGGGTCACCCGCGCTGGCGAGCCACATTCCCAAGGACGAGCAGCGGGTGGCAGCACTGCCCCTGCTCCGGCGCCGTCCAGGTCCCCCTCTGCCTGGCTCGGGCGCCTAGAGTGCTCTGCCCCCCTGAACTCGCCGGCGGCCGCGGGGAGGAATTCGCCCGGGCCCCTCCCCTTCCCCAAACTTCGCGGCCGCACTCCCGCTCCCCCAGCCCGCCCCTCGGCGCGCCGGCTCCTCCCCCCGGCCCCCGCGCCCACTGAGGAATCCGCTCCCCCCGCCGTCCGGGATCCTCCCCCCGCGTGCCGCCCCCGCCGCCGGCCCGCTCCCCCCGCGCGGCGCTCCTGCCAAGCCCATGATGTAATGGTGTATGTTAATCAGGAGCATGTGGGGAGCTCCGGCTCGGGCGCTCAGTCCTGCGCCAGCCGAGCCTAGAGGCAGCCGGCCGCCGGCCGCAGCGCCCCGCACCCGCCGCGC